TTATATATATATATATATATATTAGAGTTATATATATATATATATATATTAGAGTTCAATCTCAAAAAAAACAAAAAAAACATGTGCACACTAATCCCAGCCTGACAGAGTGCTAGCCAAATATCTTCATATTTAAACATTAAATCTGATCTAGACCCTCTCAGGTCTAGTTAACCTATTTTTCTGAACTGTCTAAGTTTTCGTCAAGTTATCTGCTTTGTTGCTTTATGGAATAATAACATTCTCTGATTTCTGTTTCCCTTCACGTTCTAAAAACAAGCAGTGGTGGAATTGGATTCCCATGAGATATTTGTGGGATTTTATTTGGGAATGTAACTGAATAAACAGGTTCCTTGTGGATTCACATCATAAACACACTGCAGCGACAAAACATGATATTCTCAATGTTCTCTGTGCTGCTTGTCTTTCCCTCAGTTCCTTTACTGAGATTTACACCTTGATGTAGAAGTCACAGCTGAATAGATTATAATAAGAAATGCCCTAGCTAGGACCTGCTGTGTTGATGTGGGCATTGTGTACCAATTTCTTTCTCACCACTTTCCCGTTATTAACTTGTAATTCAAAGGACAAAATAAGATATATTTTTTTAATTTTTGACCAAAAAAGTGTTAAAGTTGCTCTCAAAAGTTTACACACCTCTGTTAAATGTTGAAAGACATGATATTTTATTATCTAAATCACGCCTTTTTTTTTTTTTTTTGAAAACTTTGTAAATAATTTGGTTGCACATGCAACCAAATTTAATAAGAAAAAATGTTAGATACACCAAAAATAAGTAAAAATTACTTAAATTAAGTGCTTTTACCCTTAATATGAATAGGTAAATGACATAGTTTGCCAATGGAATGAGTATTTTTACTCTTAAAAAAAGATAATTAGATAATATGCACTTGAAATAAGACAATGTAATTGTGTTTTGTTATTTTAAATGTAAATTATCTTGTTCCATTGGCAAAATGTCTCTTTTACCTCCTCAATCCAAGAACAAATGCACCTATTTTAAGAAAAAATTACTTATCTAGATTTTGATTTTACCCAGTGTATGTAATTTATTTCCAAATCTCATCTCATCAAGTGAAACAAATTATATAGATCAGACAAACCAAAGTTTGGGGGATAGAGATAAAATTACAAGTTGGCATTATTGTGCACTCCTTTAGATTTATAAGTCTTGAAAGGTCAATTTATGTCAACATTGAAGGAGTATTTGCAGGAGAAGTATGCCGCTTAAAGAGGGGGAAGGATTTCCTCTGGAGTGAGGTGTAAAGAAGTTTCTATTGGTCTGCATGGATGTTAGCAACAGCATTTCTAATGGGCAAGAGCAAATGTTTGTATGGGCTTCAAAATGAGAAAAATCTGATATGCAAAAGGATATTTGAAAATAAATGCATTTTGAAAAGAAGTAATTAGTAAAAAAGTTTGAAAACAAAATAAATCTGTGGAAAAAATTATGTTTAAAAGATACCATGTGAAAAATAAACTATAAAAAAAACTATAAAAATTTGGGAATTTAGAAAAAATTTCTTTGAAGAACTTTTTGTGATTAAGAAGTTTAATTTCTGGATTACTTTTTTTCCATTTCCATCTTTTTTATATGCTCTTTGCTAGGAAAAATAAGGAGAAAAAAAATTACTCCATATGTGCATGTTGGGTGCTGGTGGGGCCAGTGTACAGCAGCCTCGCTTCTGTCAGTGAGCCTCTGGGCAGCTGTGGTTACAATGCAGCAAGCCGCCATCAGTGTGTGTGTGAATGGGTGAATGACTGAATGTCTTGTAATGACTTTGGTCAAGTTTCCTGACTTGAAAAAGCGCTTGATAAGTTAAGGCCATTTACCATTTTAGGCTATTTACAGTATATGGTCAACATCTAATATCAACCCCAATATCAAACACTGTTTTCAATTTTTTTCCCCCTGATTCATTGCTTGTGTAATATCACACAAGGAACTGCACTGTTGTAAAACTTAAGAAGCTCTGTTATATTTTATATAACACAGTAATGGGAATCATAAATACAGCAAAAAGTTTCAAATTGATTTTTTAGCTCTCTAATGTATAAGATTTTTTTCCAAATTTGTATTGTCTGTTTATTGTGGTATATTGTCTTTATGTATAATGCATCTAGATTAAATGACTAAAATGCACAAATATGTGAAAGTAGCTTTTAAATAACCAACATTGCAAACTTAATGGATGTATGCTAACAGCATAGGACCTGGAGCTTAAAAATGATCACATCATAAAAAGGAATTATTTCAATGATAATTATGACTATTTCTTTGTAATCATTGATTGGATTTGTACTCATTAGTCCAGAATGAGTTAAAATTTTCAAAATCCTTGGGGAAATCTCTCAATTGTTACTTTTTCCATTATCTTTTGTTTAATCAGGCATTTTCTTCTGAGATATGAATCTCTATTTCAGAGTAGGAAAGATAAGCAAGAATTATGATCATATTAAGTCACAGCCTACATTTTAAACTGCCACATTCTTATACAGAAGCACCCTCAAAAGGGTAATTTAAATGAACTCGACTTTTCGAGACACATATTATCTCTGGTGTTTGATTGCATTCATCATCCTAATCCCAAAATGATCCAAACACTACTAAATTAAGACCTAAATCAAGGCCCTCTTAAAAGTGCTATTGCATTTAATTAAAGTTTGAAATCAATATCTTAGTTTAACACTGAATAAAAGATGTCTATAGCTTACATATAATTAAACGGTATTTAACCATTTTATATTAACACACTCATCTCTATTTTCCTTCAGTGAGGTAATCCTGTCTAATATTGATATGGCCCTCGCTGGCAACTGGGAATGTCTGGTGACCAGTTCCAGAGGAAACACCTCTCGGCAAATGGAAATAGTTGTAGTGGAGACCTCCGCCCCCTACTGCTCTGCAGACAGAGTCTCCAACAACAAGGGGGATTTTAGGTAAGTGACCTTCATCCATTTATTTTGCAACTGTACAACCCGCCTCATTGAGGGAGCCTCATTAACTTGGATTTTACGACTAGGTTTGTTCAACTACAATAAAGCAAGTTTAAATGAGAGAGATTTTTCTTTTTTTACATTTACTGATCAAACTGCTGTTTGAACAGTGTGTTTTGCTCAATAGAGAGAAAACTGAAGTTAGCACTGTAGCCAAGAATATCAGAAGTACACAAGATCTGTGATGTTTAACCTTATTTTCTTTGTAGATTTAAATTAAACAGTTCACAAGTCTGATTGGATAAGCCAATTTAAGGTGCATTTACAACAAATGTGAATAGAGCAAATAAAGCAAGTGATGTATGTTGTCCCTATTTAGGAGTACCTTAGAAGCAAAGCGATGTGAAGGAGGTGTTCTAGCTTTGAGCTTGGCATGATTAGGCTAAGTAGAGCAAACGAAACCATCTTGAATGGCAACAGATATTTGCTGGAGTTCAAAAAGCAGAATTTTTCTTTCAATTTGCATCACATAAACCAATCAAGGACTGAATGTGGTGGTGATGTAGGGTAAAGTAGTGCAGTGAAGATGAAGACGTTTTCAGTTAAACAGGAAGATAGAAAAATTTATGTTGATGTAGGACAAACAGAGAGATGGTCTATAGAGGTTTATGAATGGCTTTTAAAAAAAGCAGTTTTAATTTAGCACTAAGAAGAACTGTTGAATCATTCATCATCCATCCTCCTCTTGTTGCTTCAGAGCATGTAAAAATCTGCAAGATTTTGGTTCTCTCTAACTTTTGCTTTCCACTCCTTCTGCTATGTCTGAGCTCCAGAACACATCCTTACCTTACCTCATTTATCCAGGTGATCCATCCACATAGAGTGATAACAGTTTTGGATCCTGGTCAGACATAAGTACCACATGAAGTGACCGTAATCGAGTTCCCAGACTTTCTGAACTATGATTATCTTTTGACCCCGGGGTGTATGGCTTTCCACAAAAAATAAAGCATTGTGACTCATTCAATAAAATCCCAGTCTGTCATGGTAAGTTGAGCAGAAATCAAACTTGGAAGCAGATGCAAGCTCCTCTATTTGATGATACAGTGAATTTGAAAAGCAGGCAGGACATTGTTAGAATGTATGACCGATAAGACTATAAGTCTAATCTTTGTATGTCAGATTTCTATATGTTTGCCCATTACCTTGCATGAGTAAAAGCCATCCAGTCTCCATCGTTACTTTTCCACCATCTTTTGTTTAAACCTACTGCTGCCAAGGGGTCATCTCTACCCCTCTGGATTTTCAAATTTATGGAACGCTCCTAAATGTAACCATATCTCTAACAAATAATGTATTTCCCATAACAGAAAATGTTTGGCATCTTATGAATTTTAGGATGTCTGTGGCGTCAATTTCACAAAATTTTAAAAAGAGATCTGAGAATTTCAGAGACCTTAGAATGGACAATGTTTTCCCTAAGGACTGACAACTTTTCCCCCCCTGAGAACTGCTGTTTTTCTTAATACCTGAGAACTGACAAGGTTTTTCCTAAAAACTGATGTTTTTTTTGTTTTTTTTGGTTTTCCAAAAGAAAAATTCAGTGGTACCACAATTCAGTGGTAATTTTATGGGTCTGACAGGAAAACAGACGTGGTTACAAAGTAAGACACATTCGCTTTGAGTAAAAATCAAAAAGAAAATCTGTCAATCACACTGGAAACAGCCAGGTTTAGAGTCCAACAGTGCACATATAGCAGGCGGGACCAGACTCATGCATAAACAATCATTGGAACATTAAACAAAAATACTTTACCCCTTAATAGGAGTTTAGAAGGACAGAAAACTGATAAAATAGTGATCCTGTTTGAGCCTCGCAAAAACTAACAGGGACAGTAGAAAGCACAGCTTATCATTCTCCATGATAGACAAAAAAAAATGGATTAGTTAAATTCTGATCGTTTTTGAGCATAAAAAAACAAAGCAAAGAGGAGCAAACAGTGCAGGTTTGAGCAGATTATCCTTTTCCAATCTATGAAAAAAAAGAAAAACTATAACTTTAACAAACTTCACAGATCCCTCTCTTTATAGGAACTATGTTCCTATAAAAAATTCTCTATCTGGCTCATAAAGTGGGGCTTTGCTTTATAGTTGCGCCAGGTGTTTTTTATTTATATTTTTCGCTTTATTTATTTATTTTTTAATAACGTTTCATAATCTGTCCTGGTCAAATGTGGGAAATTATTTCATTTGTTTGTGGCACAGAGACAACCGAGCAAAAAAAGGGTTGAAAAGACATTGAAAGGGAAACATGATTTACATCCAAACAACGTCTACATTTGGTTGAAAAGTAAAAGGTGAAAAGCAGTAATTTTCAGAATATTGAAAAGATTTTTCATTTTTGGACTTTTAACATCTAACCATACAGAGAAAATTTTCCAACAACCATTTCTGGACTAAATCCAGACTATGACGGACCGACCAGATTTAGCCTAAAAACAAACATCTGAATGACGTCTGTTGTTTGGGGTGGAAGAAATCTGCACAGATCTGCTTACCCTGCCTAGTCGAAACTCTTTACATGCAGTCAGTGTGACATGGAAAAAAACTTATGAGGTAACCGGTTGCATAGGATTAAAATTCCTACGTGTGACCTGGGCTTTGTATGTTGATATTCAAAAATACATCAATTGATTATTTTCTAATTTCCTTTTTTAAAAATATTTTCTCATTCATGATATGTTAAGCATTTAAATCTTAAATGTATATTTTGTTTACTAATGTTGTCTAATGTGCCAATAGATTAATGTAATGGGGTATCGGGTGCTCTGTTTCATTGCTGTGTGGTCCTTGGGTTCTTAAATAAAATGTAGCACAGCTTTATTAATTGAGGACTATTAGGCTTATATATCTATAAAATATTTGTGTTGTTTGTTCTTGTTTTTTCTTCTGATAAGAAATAAACAAGACAAATTAATTATTCATTTTTCTTTTTGTGGGTTTTGGTTTGCTTGTATGGGGATCATTTGCAGTTCTGCTGCCTTAATTTGTGCTGGTCTGCACAGACTTTTGTACTAATTAATATGATTTTATAATTGTCCTTTTTGTGATTTAATAAAGCACTTCGCACATCTATAAAGTGACAAGCATAAAAAAAAAGGATAGAAATTTAAAGAGGACTCTAACACACTGTCTAACTTGCAAGAGAAGAGATTTATTTGCAGTTTCAGTTCGAGACCGTCATCAGGCAAACATTTCTGGTTTATGAGAAGCCATATTAAATAAGTTGAGGTTATTTCCTCACAAACAATCTCATTCCCACAGGTAAACACAGAAGGAAGAAATGGATGATTAGATAAATAACAACAAATACCAAAGAACACAGCAAATAGATAAAGACAAATTGCAAATATACTATGACATTTTAAATTTACTTAATAGGTTGAGAAACAGATATGTATATTAGAACAGACAACATCAGAGCAGACCAATAATCAAAGCTTACATTAATCATCAAAAATCTCGAAATACAGAGTTCATATTGTCCTCTGTGAATATGATAAGCAGAATACTTCTTTCTGCCCATTCAACTGCAATAAGATCCATATTCCAAAAACAATGGAATATTTTAATATATATTAACAAAAAGGGAAGAAAATCAGTATAAGGCACATTTTTTTTGTACCAATTTTGAAGAAAAACTAAACAATCCAAGAATGCAGACACATCTCCAACCCCTCCCGAACTATTGATAAGGTTGTTGCACGCTTTTCCGAGGTCAGGAGATTCTAGTCACGTGGACGACGCCCTGATTGGCATGGAAGCTAAAATTACTTAAATGAGCCATGTGGACCTTGCAGACGTATGAGGTACAAATACAACTGTGTTCCTTAGAGTAGAGAACATAGAACGGTTATGTTTTCTCCTTTTTGGACTTTGAGTTTGTAGTTATCAATAATTCTATTTTGTTGATGTTTGGTTTATTTTCCATTTTATGTTTATTTAAGCAGTCTTAAGTCACTCTCTGTTGCCCCCTTGTACCCTGTCTCCTTTCCCCTAGCTCCCTTCTAGTCTCTTTCATCCACACCTGCTCCATATCAGTTGATTACCCCAGTCTTTGTTTTGTCTTCCATATATACTCTCCCTATGCAGTTCTTCAGTCCTTGTTCCATGTTGTTAGTTGCTTCCTCTTTGGCTCCCCATGTGAGTTTTTCTAATGTTTTCTAGTTCTTTGTATTTTTGATTTTTTGCGTCCGTTACTTCATCAAACCTGCAAGAACTAATCTCTGCCTCCCTCATCTCTGCATTTGAGTCCTCACCCATCCTCCACCTTCACCTTGACAAGATTTTTTTTTTTTAGAATAAAATGTAATTTCTAAAACATTCTACCATAATTTACCAGAAAAAAGGATTTATTGTCAATACAAGACTAACACTGATGCATTTAGTTTATTTGCTCCTCAGACCTAAAAAAACTAGAGAGAGCCTTGGGAGTGCAGAAACCAATGTCACCTTTAAATAAGTATTTAACAAATTATTTTTGTAATGTAGCTAGTTTTGCTATTTAACTGTTTGCCTGGCAACTGAGGAGGAGTTGAAGGTTGAGATTTAAAAAGATGAGCACTTCTTTAAATGGATTTCATAGCTATTTGTGAATTTAAAAAATCTATTTTAGAGAAACACTTTTAACATCAAATATTACTAATAATGAATTTTGTTTTTAAATAAAGATGAGAGTGTTAGGTTTCTGTTTCTGTTATGTTTTTCTTTTGCTCCTTGATTTCTAGTGTTTAGTTTTCTTTTCACCATGTTTCTTTATCCTAGTTATTTGATTATTATTTTGTTGTTGTTTTCTTATTAGTTCCTGTCTTCCTGGTTCTCCATTTGTTGTCCTCTGCTGCCCTCTTGTGTCCTCTTTCTCTTGCTCTGTTTTCTGTTCAGCCCTCACCTGTTTTCAATTCCCTCATTAGCCCTCTCACTGTCTCTGTCCCCTTTAAAAGCCC